TCAAGTTTTGTGCAAAAACGCATGATCGCTCCGGCTCGCCTGGTGCGTTCCAGCCTAGGTTTTATTTTTGTATGTAGACAAAAAATCATAAAAACTATGTTATATCCAAACATTTGATCCAGGATTATAAGTAACATAATCAGAAACTAGAAATCAGTGACGCCCTTTTGTGTTTCTGGATTACAAAATCATATTTAAATTTGTTCTTGACAAACAAACCAAAAAATTTATATAAAGCGGAACTGAGCAGGTACGTAGTAACAAAGCGAATTTCACTTTCTAGTAATTTTTAAAAGCCTTCTTTGAATACAGTTTAATCGGATAGCAGAAAGTTCCGCAGATATCGCAGTCTTTGCTCGATGGATAACAAGTGATGAACCTGACTCAGATCCTGAAACTTTTTCCAAGAACACTCATTTTTGCTACGTGATTCATTTTCCATTTTCCTGGCAGTCTGCGTAAAAATTCACCAAAGCCAAGGCCAAACCTTGCGTTTCACTGCTTATCAGAAGTGAAGGCGCTCCGAAATAACCTCAGTAGTGTAACTTTGACAAAAGCTGACAGATAAAACTCTTCTTATCTGCAGTTCGCTTATACTATCAGCTTGATTTTAAGCAATCTTTGAATGAAGGAGCTATTAAGAGCCTTGCCAGTGGGTAGTTCCTCCTGGCATTTACTACAACTTCGGCTACCTTCCGAGTGTTTTCACCTCTCTAGATGTTATACATATATAAATTTTTTGCATTCTAGTAATTATGCTAGTGCTTTTGGTATCTCCACTGATTCTGTTGTTTGGCATTGCGCATGCAAACGATTCACTGCCAGCTGATGTCTCCACACATTTTAATTGGTTGCCATGCAATCCAAGTGATACTATCAAATATTACTATCTAACATTTCAAGATACCGAGGGTATGAGTTTCTGTTCGCATGCCAATAACAATTTTTTCAACATTTCGAATAACTTCATTTCAGTGGATTTTTTTAAAAAACGGACCTGATACTTTCCGACTACTGCGGCGAGTACCGCATTGTTTTTCTAAAAACAGTCAAATGGTATTCCTTGATAATAGTTATCTGCATTTTTGCAAATGCAATAAAATTCCGAGTAAGATTGTTAGAAAATTAAATATTCTAACTGATCAAGTAATTTTGCAGTATGTGTTTCATCCCTAAGCCGTAAACAGAGACAGAGCATCGGCCGCGAGTAGTAGTAGGAACCGTCAATAAGACTGAACTCCTAATGCAGGATTATGATGCAGAATTGGCGAAGTAAAGGACAGAATTGGATAATAGCACCGGGCAATAAATATTTGGCCAGCGCACGGGCTGCCCGTGCGATGACGTGTTTTTTGCATAGCTCCCCGCAGATTTTTGTCGCTAACGGCACTGGTTTTTCCGGCAGAAGTTTCTAGCTAAAAGAATTTAAGACTGGCCGCCAAAACTGTCAGGAAGCATCCCCTCAAAATTTCAGTCTTCTAGCTTCTCACTTTCCCGAGTTAGCAATTTACCCAGAAGAAACTTTCACGGGTCCGCACGTAGTTACCACCTTACCAGCGGACAGGGTTTGAACTCGTTAATACTCATTTGGACAGGGAACATCCACCTAACATTTCAGCGTTCTAGCTTCTCAGATCCCCGAGTTATGAAGTTACCCGAAAAAAACTTTGGCGGGCCTGTATGCGGGTACCACGCTGGTGATGGCGCCCATTTTGGAGATTGGGGCCGGCGCCTGCATGGTTCCCGAAATTTCAGCCCTTCAGCTTTTATAGGTCTTAAGATGAAAGTGCGCGACAGACGCACACACAGACAACCCTCGCCAATATGCGTTTTTGCATTGCATAGCTGTAAAAAACGCATAAAAAGGGTGCGGAAAAAAGAGAGAAGAGATAATGGTTGTGCATCATTCTGTGGTTCTAGTTTTCGATAATCATCTTTTGGAACCCAGCAGAATAGAGGCATGCAAAACACGAATTTTTAGTTTTGTGCAAGGCAAGAAGCACGAGAAAGCATCACTTGAATGAGGTGCCACAGAAGAATGATCAAACCAGTGCTCCCCACTCTTATTTTCCCACACTGTCTCTATTTCTTTTCTAAAGGATATACGGTAAAGTAATATTTTCGGGATCCGCAGCCCGCTGACCTTGAAAGCATAGTTTTTTCTTCAATGCCGTTGACTTTACCGTTTGTTTTTTTTCAGGAAAAGACACCTATCCAATTCAAATTTCGCAACCATTCGTTGTCAATGCTCTAATTAATAACACAAATGGTCCCTGGAATGACTTGAGTGTGGGCGTGAAACTGTGGCTGTGGACCGGTGATAGCTGGATGCAGTTGCCAATATTTGGATTGTTGTAAGTTATTCTCTTTGCTGCATCCCAATTGCAGCTGCAGGAAATGCGTTAAGGAACTCATTTACAACCTAAATGGAATCAGTAAGAAAGACTGGTAGTGGTTCGTCCCTTTTTCCGAAAACTCTGTGCGAAGTGGATTATAAGCACCATGCCAGTGCCACCCCAGCATTGGCTTGTTTTCTTAACTGCAGCTACTGCAAACATGGCAGTACCGTATCAAAGAAATGTCGGCCCTAAATGACCGAAAAATTTTGATTTTAGCAAACCAAACATCGGCCATCTCGTACAGTTTCGTTCAGCTGGCCACTATTTCAGATCAAAATGGTGGAAACGTAAAGAGATTAAAGCCGTTTTTCCTTTTCTTTCTACCGATGCGCCCCAGAAAAGCGACATAAGTTAATTACCCACGAGCAATTAAAATGCTTCCTCAGATGTTGTATCAGTTTTAATCTTTCTGAATACCACGGTTATCAGCACTTATAGAAATTCAACCAAAGTTTTCTTTGCAGCCAAGAACTGCTCAAGAATGTTGCAGCAATCAAACTCCCGGTAAATTCAGGCATGCGGAATCTGGAATTCACCATCGACTTAAGACCACTTGCTCCTGTCACATTCTACCTACCCTCTACCGGTCATTACAAAATCGAGTTACAATTTCGCGAAGAAAAATCCGCAAGAAATTCGTGCCTAGTGATTGAAACGCTCGCCGGTATAACATAATTTACTGTTTGGCGTAAACTATATTTATTATACTTTACGTGAACTATTATACGATTTGTCTGACATGTTACAATAAAACACATTGCGCAGTTTTCAGCTGCTCGTGTTTTTTCACGCTGAAAGGAAAGTTTCCGTTCAAATAACAGATATTTACTGATATACGCTAGACATATAACAGATATATAGCAGAACACATACATACGTACATTTCAAATGTTTTTTATGTACGAAGTTTTAAAATAACATGTGCACACACGCACATGTACACACATACACACCGTACACACACATTACACATACTTCGTTTGCTAATGAAATGAGCTCAAAACACAAATTTTTCGATGAAACAAAAGATGCTTTCGGCATATCCAATTCACGCATCAGTCGTTAGCCTTCGAAAACAGGTATGCAAATGAAGTACACTGAGGGATGGCATTCAGGTGAATGGCATGTGTCCGCAGAGCGCATCAATCCTCGAACTGGCTGAGGGCCAACTCATCGTATCCGGCATCTGCCTGGGAAGCAGTTGAACCACTGGGTTGCATGAATTCTGAACGCATGGTTGCTGTAAATTTATTCAGTGATGGGTGGTCGAGAAATGCAAATTTCATAATGAACAACACGTCGGAAAGGATAAAGAAATCCACAAAAATGTATTCGCTTTTGACATGATGAGACCGAGTACTGGTCCTGCCCCGTATTTGAGAACCACGCCTGGGAGCTGAATTTGAAGTCTTTAAGCTGTAAGTGAACAGGGCACGTAGTTTTAAAAATTTAACTTTCCAAATTTTCAGATCCCGAGTTAGTAGTTTTTCGCTAAAACCGCGACAGGCTCGCACGTTAAGCTTAAAGGCTGGTACCGCATTCCTCGGGTAACGTTTGGCCAGAGAAACCACTGGTAAGATTTCAGCGTCGAAGCTTGCTTGGTTTTCGAGTTAAAATAACCGGTTGTACACATACACACACACACGCACACACACACACACGCACACGCACACACACACACACCTACACGTACATACCCACGCACACCCACACACGCGCCCACATACACACTATGGGTCGCCATAATACGCATCTTTTTGTTTTTGTATGTAGGCAAAAAATCATAGAAACTATGTTGTACCTAGATTTCTGGTCCTGGATTATGGGTCACAGGATCAGAAACTGGGAATCAGTGACGTATTCCTGTGTTTCGATTACAGAATCATATTTAAATTTATTCTTGAAAAACAAGCCAAAAAACAATATATAGAGCGGGGTCGGGCAGGCATGTAGTAACAGCACGAATTTCAATTTTTACAAACTTTTTTTGAATACAGCTTAGTCAGATAGCAGAAAATTCCGCAGCTACGCAGCCTTTGCTCAGCAGATAACAACTGATGAGCTTGGCTCCCTTATTCAGACGCTGAAACTTTTTTCAGAAACACCCGCTTCTGCCATGTGCTTCAGTTTTCGTTTTTCTGGCAGTTTGAGTGTGCTTTTAACAGAATCAAGGCCAGGCCCTCCCTCACGTTTTACTATTTATGAGAAGCGAAGGCGCTTCGAATTTTTCCCAGTAGTGTAACTTTGACAAAAGCTGACAGATAAAACTCTTTGATGATAAAACTCTATTTTCCGCAGTTTGCTTATACCATCAGCTTGATTTTAAGCAATCTTTGAATGAAAGAGCTATTAAGAGCCTTGTGCCAGCGGGTAGTTCCTCTTGGCATTTACCACAACTTCGGCTACTTTCCGAATGCTTTCACCTCTCCCAGAAACAAATGCAGAGCAGGCGCAGAATTAACAGAAACAGCTGAGCGATACTTCAAAAGCAATACATATATATTTTTTGCATTCCAGAAATTATGCTAGTACTTTTGGCAGCTGCACTTATTCTATTGTTTGGCGTTGCGCATGCAAGCATTCCACCGCCAAATGACGTCTCCACACGTTTTAATTGGTCGTCATGCAATCCAGATGATTTTATCAAATATTACGATCTAACAGTTCAGGATATCGAAGGTATTAGTTCCTCTTTTGCGTTCCAGTGATTATTTTTTCAGTGTTTTGAACAGTTGCCTTTCAGTGGTTTTTTTAAACTGCTCTGTAGTACTTCACGATCATTTTGGAGAAGTACCACATCGTTTTCCTAAGAACATTGGAATGACACCGTCATCGGTATTTTTACAACTGAGAACAGTATGAAATCAATAAATTACAATAAAATTTCTAGTAAGATTATTAGAAAACTACATATTCTAATGGATCAGGTAAGTTTGCAGTTTCGGGATCCACAGCTCACCGACTTTGAAAGCGTTATTTCATCGTTGCTGCTAATCTTACCGTTCGTTCTTTTGCAGGAAAAGACGTCTACCCAGTTCCAATACGAGAACCTTTTGTTGTCGATGCTCTAATTGATAACACAAATGGCCCCTTGGATGACTTGACTGGAGAAGTGAAAATGTCGCTATGGACCGGTCGCTGGATGGAATTGCCGAACTTTGGATTTTTGTAAGTTATTCTTTTTGTTGCATCCCAACTGCAACTGCAGCAAGTGCCAGGAAGCTAATTTACAGTCCAGTGATATTTGTAAGTGCTTCGTTTCCTTTCCTGCATGGGAAGCGGATTAAAAACAGCATATGCTGGTACCATCGCAGTGTTAAACTGTTTCCCCAACTGCAGCTACTGCAAGGGAAAGTAGTGCCATGTCAAAGAAATGTCAGTCTTAGTTGATCGAAAAAATTTAATTTTAATAAAACCCAAACGTAAAAATACCAATTATCGATCATCTCGGTAGTTTTGTCCAGCTGGTAATCACTTTAGGTCAGAACCGTGGAAAGATAGCTGAATTCTTTAACCATATTGTCTTTGCATGGTTCTGAAGACAGCGGATTCTTGCAGCCGACGTGCCTCAGAAAAGCGGCTTTAGTTAAGTACCTATATGCAAGGCGCGTTAAAATGCGTGTTCAAGATTATCAATATTATTAATATCAATGGATATTAATATCAATATTAAAATTATTAATACTGCCAACGGATTGCTGATTAACTATCTTGTTAAGCAAAAGAAGTAACTGCCATATCATCGGGGAAAAGGGATTTGAAGAGGTCATTGGTTTTCGCGGTGTCGGAAGCAGAATGTTTGTTGCAGTTCGTTCTAAGCTGTTTTTCCGCTTGTTCTGATCTACCTATAGTGGAATTATCATTATAACATTCCATTTCAAGATCAAATGAAAACTTGCAGGAATGAGCTGCTCGAGTGCGGTGCAGGAATTAAATGCCCAGTGGAATCAGGCAAGCAGAATCTGGAAATCACTGTTGACTTAGCACCACTGACTCCATACACAATGTATCTGCCCCGTACCGCTCCTTACAAAATTGAATTTCAATTTCGCGAAGGAAAATCCGCAAAGAGGTCGTGCTTAGTGATTGAAACGCTCGGCACTACAGCATGATTTACTGTTTAGTGCAAACTATGTTTATTGTTCTTTACGTCAACTGTTATGCGATCTGTGTAACATATTATAGTAAAACAAATTGCTCTGTTTTCAAACGCTCATGTTTTTTTTTGTGCTGAAACGAAACTTCCTGTATAAATAACTTTTCCATTATCTTGACTGGCAATAAGTTTTCCGTTTAAATAAATTTGTATCACTTTGACTGGCACTGTTTTCACATTCATATTTTATTCAATCGCCAAGCAGAGCAAATATATACATAAATGCGCACGTGTTACGCGCTCGGTACATAAGAAGCGAAATACAAAAAATACAAAATCACAACGAATCGAATATTTACAGCGTTTAAGATCAGCCTAAAGAATAAATTTAACATCTTAAAGAACACTTCGATTCCACTGCTGGGATGAACATTCAGCCTACGTTCCGCTCATTAGATGATAACATGGCATTGGCACATTCCAGGAATTCAAATCCGTCATCACTTTACTTGTACACAGCTTTAAAAAAAACGCATTCAATAGCCTTGTCAACGATTGCGATTGCTTTTAAAAAGATCTGAAAATTCACTGGCATCGATTTATTCTAAGATACAAGGAAAATCATGAGTAAGGGCAGGAGATTTTATTTCACCTGGCTTTCCAACTGCGCAATGTAACAAGCTTTCCAGTTGTACTGGCAAATGCTGCATCGCCTGATTAACGTTCGTCTCGTCCCGTGGAAGCTAAAAAAAATAAACAAGCAAATCGCGCTTACTGTTGTATAGATAAATTTCAAATTCGAGTGAAACGTTGAGAAAACATATAATGACATAATCAAATGGTGTGTGCTTATTTGCTGTGTCTATGAATTTTTATGCTTTTTTGCATATATGTAAATTGCAAAAACGCATATTGGGAAGAGGCTGTCTGTGTGTGTGTCTGTGTGTTCGCGCTTTTTGTCACCCACTTTCAACTCGAGACCCAGAAAAGTTAGAAGACTGAAACTTTGGGGATATGTGCCTATACTATGCGCGACCCTCCCATC